TAAGACTGTTAAAGGGAAAACAACTCTTCATATGAAATTCAAAACTGCACAATAAATGCATTGTAAACATTACATAAAAATATGATAAATTCCATTTTATCACCAAAACGGCTGTTATCGCAATGATTCCGAAATCTGTGCTTGCCATTGGACCACGTGGACCTTCATGGCTGGCTTCATGGATGGCTATCATCTTAAGAGATTATAACAAAACCACACTATAAAAATTGACCAATTTTGAATGTTGGTAAGTATGGGAACATCGTCGGAGAATCCGTTATATGACACTTTTTCACGTCAAAATGAAGAGTTGTTATTCCTTTAACTTCATTCATTGCTATCATGTCAGGCGTTGGTAGTAACTGTTTTTATACCATGCGTTATTTCAAACCCCGAAATAATGATTTATTTTCTTTTTTCTACGATTAATGCGCAGTCAGGGGTAGACTTAGTTGTACAGACGCAGGAATAGACGCCATTATGTGATCTAAGCTAATACAGTTCTGATAGACAAGCGTAATAGTCGTAACTTATTTTACGACCATATTCAGAGTGTTTCTCAGAAATGAGAACGAACTAGGGAATATTATAAACTATACAGTTAGATTTCATGAAATACTTTAAAGAGGACTTGAAACTTTAACACAAAATATAACGACAATAACATTGAACTTACAGAATTTCATAGTTTAGTATGAAGTTGGTTTCTATGGTCAGTTTATCACGATACTACGTCATAATACCGTCACTGTAGCAGTCTCCGTCTGTTACGTCACAAAGCCGGTGTGTTTGTGCGATATGTCGTTCTCACCTGCTGGTACAGTTTAATAGAAGAGAAGATTTATTTAATTTTCAATGCATTATAAGATTACTGATATAAACTTGATTTCTGTTCACTTCCAACCTTGAAGATATTTCTTGTCACAGAGTAGGTAGACTTAAAAACCGCGTGCCTGGGTTGTAATGGAGCGTCACTTTGATTATTGCGTCACTGAAGAATTGATATGTCATTGTTGACACCGTCTTCGTTGCCTGGTTACCGTGAATTATAAAACAGCGGCAATGATTGTACATGTTTTATTTTGTGAGTGACGAGATGCGACGGATGAATCTTTATGTAAGACAGGTACGAAAATCCGTGCGAACTGATGCTAAGATTAATTTATTTTAAAAAAATACGCCAGTTAATGTCTATTATGTTCCTTGGAATGCAATTGTAAGGTAAGCGATGATAGTTAATACAACAGCTAGAATTGAATCTTTTTCTTTTTAGTAATATCATCATCTTTGCGTGTTTTACCTTAAAAGAGACGGAAAGCTGACACTTTTGTTTAACATGACAAAGTAAGTACATAATTTAGTTATGAAAACGATGAACATTTTAGTTTTTATCGTTTTTATCATACAGTTTCTCCGAGGGCAGGGATAGCTAACTAACCGACAGTTGTACTAGAGAAATGGTCTACATATATAATTCCAAGCCTAATATATAAGTGTAGAAAGGAAGTGAGCTGCAATTATGTATGAGTTAGTAACTCAATACATTTGAACAGATATTAATATCGCACATGAATGTTTTTCTAGATTCTTTTTTTTTTTTATGGAAAAATGCAGTTGCTTTGTCACTGTAATTTTTTTTCACTCGCTTGAATACACTGTGGAATACAGACGATGTAGTCATAAATCAATAGATATTTTTATCAGGCCTTTTTTACTTGGTGAGTAATATTTAATGCGTAGGGATGGAGGTCGATGTTGATTTTTCATTTGTCATTTCAATTTATAATATAAAAATATGAACCTGTGTTTTACCACATTTTGTGTGTTCTTAGTATTCCTGTGTTCAAATGAAATGCTTTGTTTTACCTGCTAAATCTCGTTTGATGATTATTTCTCCGTTCTATGCTGAGTATCAGAGCTACATAAATGTAAATATTGTACAATACTGTGTATGATTTTGAGTTTAACAATAAAAATGAAAATAAATAAGTAAATAATAGTTTTTTATGTATTATTAATTAATGTTTATATCCTGTTCTTTTCTTATCGTTTAAAGCAGAATCGATGGTAAAATATACATTTTTATCGTCTGAAACTAAATGGCGTGGAATAATCTCAACGAGCTGAAATCAGACGTTCGTTTTTAAGCTCATTTCGGGTGTCTGGTCTGTTGCTGTCGGGAGCAGAGAATTCTTGGTTTTCACTCATCCTCAGCAAAAGACACCGTTGGTAATACGAGTAGAATCTATCGTAACTGTATATACTTCAATTCGATTTCAGACGATTTCTGGCTCACTAACAGACTCATTGTGTTAGCTGAGACATGATTGTGCTGGGAACACCGGGAGGGCTGCAATGACTGGGTCGCATTGCTTTATGGGTATGAAATATAAACTTGATTTTTTTTTTTTTTTTTTTTTTTTTTTTTTTGCCTTGAAAAATCTATAAGTGAATACAAGATGAACGGGTGATTGGATTTGGGGTGTGGGGTGCCTGTTGATTTTCTTCCTCCCATAAAAGCAATATAGCAAGTGAGACGAACCAACCAAGCGATCTCACCGTCCTTTTACCGAACGTATTACACACGCCCCTTACGAACCCCTGATTCCGCCAGTGAAAACCACTTACTGAAATTAAGATATTGTATGATCAATTTGGGAGCCGGCTATGGACCTTTCACGTTAATATTGCTTGCAATGACACACGCGAGCACACACATACGCACAAACAAGTAATTAAAAAACAAAAACAAAAACACGTAAACGCGCACAACTTTGTGGTATTTTTAGTGCCTTTTTAAGATGCGACAATAAAGGTAACCTGTCGGCTGCTGTACCCAGTGTACGCCTACTTTCAGTGAAGCTCTGTACCTGCCGAACACGTGAAAGCGGGTCTATTTCACCTCGGGCGCCGTCACGAGGTGAACCAAACGGTGTAGTAGAAAAGGAAGACACTGTCGTCATAAATCTTAGCGTTCGGCGTCTGTTTGACGGCCACTGTGGACCACTGGGGTAGACAAGTGAACAGGATATTGAACTGTGGCGGCAAGATATTCCCGTACTTTGGTCTCTCAAATACCGCCCGGTAAAGTAGTACCTTACTTAAAATGACATCCTTAGTTTTCATGTTACTTTGAGGGGATAAATCAAAATTTTATATTTAACATGTCATTTAAAAGTAAGATATTTTCCTGTGCATTTCAATATAATTGCAACCGTCAACATAAAATGTCTCCGACCACACTTTTGGCTAAAACTCCCCGATCCGGTCATTGTGCTTGCTCCCACCGTAATCACAGTCTCTACTAGAGACCAGCTGAGAGGGGAAATTAATGCAAAAACTCTCGTTGGAAAGTAAAATGTAGAAATAATTGCCAAAGACATCTGTGAATATCTACTGAATACTCAACTCATGGCCCTGGTACATGTAGAGGGTACAGTAGTGTCATCCCAGCGACAAGGTTAGCCTTCTCTGCAGATTGTGCGTTGAACACAGAGAAAGCGCACGCTCTGTGGCTTGATCCAGACTTAGTATTGTACTCAAGTCGTCGGTCAAGCAATCGCTGGATGAGAAAAAAATTCAAGGATACAATAAGCTAGAATTTTTTTAATGTCTTGAGTGGCGTGTTGTGAAATCCTCAGTCGACAGCCAGCTTGGGGCAGCATCAGAAAACGAGTTTTTCAACGCCAGGTAACATCAACAATGTTATTAATGTTAAATGATTACACGTTACATGAAAGTGGGAGGAAGAACTCTTCACCCCCCCCATTCCACCCCAATAATAGGGCATCATAGAAGTGTTATTAACTATTACGACCACAATTTCTATTTTTCCTATTTTGTATATACCGACTTATATATAATTCATATTTTTCTTTTGTTGTCTTATAAAGAGAGCATACAGTGCTAGAAGCAATTTACTTCTTTTCGTTCTCTTAAATAAACTTTCTTAAAAAAAAAACACAACTACTGATTTATGAAGCCAGTGGAAATGTTCTGGTTGAAAGATCTCCCTTTATTCAGTTCTTCTGGTGCGAGTTATGAACGTAAATCATGAATTGAATCACTGAGTTGTTAACAGTGATACTATATCAACTATAAATGTACAGCACCTGGAGCACAGTGAAACGGGTCAGGTAGATATAGTTTTGTGTAATTTTGCTTTTGTAAGTTGAGGAAGGCCCGGAAATGGAGGAAACATAACTATCAGGATGCAATCGGAAATGGAGGACTGTTCTCTGCACTGTTAAAATATAAATAATAATAATAATAATAATAATAATAATAATAATAAAACGGCCATTCAGAATGTGACTTCAGAAATCTTTAGCTTTGTTTCACTCTATCTCGCAGTAAAAGCAACACAAGGTTAAACATAGAAGAGTTGGTCCATGTCCCAGACTGAGAGATCTTCCCGAGCTTCCCCCCCCCCCCCCCCCCCCCGTCCCCAATAGAGGGCGACACTTTTATGACATGCGGGATGTCGTGATTCTTTTCTATGCGCATTTGCCGTTAGAGTTGAATATGCAAATGCCACTTTCATATATCGTATCATTTGGAATAATTCAATATGACCCCTTGGAGCAATATATAAATATGCATGTTTTAGAGAGTATAATTTTTGGAACAATCGGCATCTACGTGAAACACACATTGGATCAATTAAGCGAAATATACCTGTGGACGAGAGAGATTATACAGAATAAAGATGCATATCTGCAAGGTGGTAAATGTGTAGTGATATACAAGAGGTGGGGTCGGATAGCTTGAACTTGTATGCATATTGTGTTGTTCTGCAGTGCTTAACTCCCTTCTTCTCCAAGTTTTCCACTTCAGCAGCTGTCTCTAGATAATCTTCTGCGGATAGAATTCTTATTATGAGTTAAGAATGACATACACATTGTTGGGATGTGGGTGATGTGACGTCACAGACACGGAGGAAGGGGAATAGATAAAGTAATAAAGTACAACAGCCTAGCTGCCTGTAGGTGTCGTGGCAGTTTAGTTGTGGTGAGAATGTGCCACTGAGGCAAGTGAACCCTAAAATGACCAGTGGTCCAGTTTTTACACTGGTTGCTGTCCACTTCAGTTTTTATATACAACACATGGACTGATGTGGTTTGGATAGCACTGTAGTGTGGCGAGAGATAGAAGCTTCACAGACAGACAGACATAGCGTACCTGTTTTGTCATCAAAGCTATCGCTGGTTATAGTTTATATTCTTACCTTTAACTTTTACCTGTTGTCTATAATTATTATTTGTATGACAGTCAGAGCGGTATGAACAATCTAGGTCTACAATAAAACATATTGCTGTAGTCAGTTTGATTAGCACGTACTAGTCCAAGGACAATATATATACACCAGTATGCCACAAGGCAAGTTATGACGCCTTGAAGGGGTTCACTGTAGAGAATCATCGCAGTATATGATTTATGTTCCCTGTTCTCTGTATGACTGTAGCCTTGGGGACACTGCTCATCTGAGCTGTTATATATATACGTACCATCTGCGACGTTATATATACGTACATAAGGAACCAGGAGTAACGTTTGTGGTATTGTGGTATGACAGTAAAGCTATAGGGGTTCTACATTATTGATCCATCCAACCAATAATAAAAATGACACTGACGTGGAAGACGATCCATTTACCAGCCAAATTCCCGAGTTTTAGTTTACGAGGAATATTGAATAGTGACGAGATGCCTGGACACATGAGTGCTGATATTACAGCGTCAACGGCTGCTGATTTGGAGGAGGAACTAGCGTTACAAATACCCGATGATGTGAGCGTTGAGATTGATGAGAAAACTTCCACGTCGCCCCCAGTTTCGGTCTCGGCTGTTACCATGGACAGAGAAGACCACCACGTGGCGCTGTCCGTGATCTACTGCTTCAGCTTTCTTGTCATGGAGGTGGGCAAACAATGTTCGTCCTACGCCATGAAGTACTACAATGATGACGTCTACCCTGTTCCGCAAACATTCCTGGTCGCCGCAGTCGAGTTGATCAAACTGGTCGTCATGGTAACGGTGTTGCTATTTCAAGGGAAACTTCTCCAAATCAGAATCTCGCTGTGGTTTGCCTTACCGTCCATAGTGTACGGAATAACTAATAATATTCATTTCTATGCCCTCCACCTCACCTCTCCCCCCGTCTGGGCCATCCTCATGCAGATGAGGGTGGTCTTCATTGCCGTCACCTACAGGACCTTGTTCAAGAGACAGATTGAAAGAATCCAGTGGTTTGCACTCTGTGTTCTCATAACGGGGATCGCCATTACCAAGATAGGCGGAGGCCTGGAAAAAGGCAACTTTATTCATCCTATGGCCTGGTTGTTGGCCGCTTTTACATCTTTCTTATGTATGGTGGCTGCGGTTTTGACAGAGGTAAGGACCATTCTTTCTTTATTTCTTTCTTCCTTTATTCTCCTGACGGGTTAACGTTGAAGATGTCTCTAGCTACATGTAGTTTTACATGTGCTGGGAAGCACCGTATTGTGTGGGGTCAGGTTCTGCTGGCATACTGTATGAAGTGGTGGCAATTTATCCACCAACTTCACCAAAACTGAGTGAAAATGAACGGGTTTTTACTTCTTCGTATTGAATCTAAACACGTGATGTGTCATGCCATAATGTGCTTTTCCTTGATGTATTTATTGGACCTGTTTTCTAGGAACAGCTGTAACAAAGTTTTCCCTGGCCTCTTTAGGTCTAAGACTAGAAGCTTGATTTTTTCCCCCGACTCAATTATGTATTTATTCAGTATTCTTCTTTGTATATTTCAGTATTTATTCAAAAACGACAGGCGCAGTTTTGCGGACCAGCAGCTACAGCTTTATCTGTTTGGGACAATTGTAACATTGATGCTTTGTTTGACGGAGTCAAATACAAAAGTCAAGGATTTATTGCAGTTCAAAGGAAGTATGTCAATACGTTACTTATTTAAGTTTTGAAAATACTTATGTATAACCAATATGTTGCTGGAGTAGTATAGCAGTCCTTTTTGGCCAATAATGCAATTGTTGGATTTGTTTTAGATATATCATTGTCTTGATGGACGGATTCTTGTTTGAATCAGACTCTTTGTGACGTTATTGTGACGTCATGCAGGTCTTCTTTTTTGTGACGTTGTGTGATACGTCACACGTGGTGCGTCATTTGTAATTGGTGGTGCTTCATATGTAATTTTAACTTGTATTGTCAAAAACGCTATCAGAACATTATCACGTTTGTTTTTAATAGTGACACGTTTTCTCTAAAACTTTCTCCTTATTCTTAAGTTTCAGACACAATGGTCCTGGTGTTTGTTATATCTTGTGTGACGTTATCAGTGACGTCAGGATTAGCGGTGGCTTTGATAATGAAGAAAATGGACAACATTGTCAAGATCTACTGTGGAGCGCTGGCCACCCTCCTGACCGCTGTAGTGTCCTCGATTTTCTTCTCGGCGCGTTTTCAGCTGGACTGGACGTATGCAGCGGGGTTTGTGCTGGTTTTCACAGCCATCTTTCTTTACGAGAAGAAAAATGTAGACTGGAAAAAAACGACTATAGCGAAGTAGGTTGCTTCTGCAGACAGCAAAGCTGGTTAACTGGCGGCATGGCAATTAAATGACTTTTATTATTGGCAAGGGCACGTTATTTCCTTTTGTTGAAATTTTACAACAGGGTTTAAGTTTCATTAGAAATATAAACATATTTATTTATCTATACAAGTTTTTTTTACATTACTCCGACATTTATCAGGTCATTTTCTAGAATGGTTTCTATAAGGTTTTAAATAAATTATCCTAGACGCTGTGGAACAGTGCTGAGGTCTTGTGTTATCTTGTAGATGGGGATTTATGGGACGCTCTCCCACCAACAACAAAAGTCTTAATTAATTCAAAATCTTTTTTTCTTTCATCGACCTTGTTTAGTTGATAGACTTTTATTATATCTTACAATTAAGACGAAAAAGTATCGACAACACGCCACAAAAATGACTCAGAACTACAATTCGATTTTTTTACTGTGTGAGACCGAGACATTGGTCCTCACTATTTAACAAACCACTCACTTAATCTCATTCTCACAGATATGTGTAATATGTGCAGCTTTTTTTATATCGCTAATATGCACTGATGTCACTACTTAACCTGCAGACCCTTTATCGTGATGCTATTCCATTTTTCGTTATTAAACAAAAAGACAAAATGACGTTATTAAAAGAAAGACAAATGACCCAAGAGAAATCTGACATGGAAATAAAGAGAAATGCAATGATAATATGGATTTTTTTCTGTACGACGTTTCAATGGGAATCCCAGGAGAACTTCTGTTGGACACCTATGGAAACCCTGTACGATTATGGTCCTACTTTTTACAGGAATTTGTGTGGGATCCGTAAAGGAATTCTGTAAGAATGTTATAGCGTATTTTGGATAGGGAAGTCTTGAAAAGTGATTAAATTGAATATAAATACAAAGGATCATATGCACTTTATATTGAACTATAGCAATCTCTGAGACAGTCGCCCTTCGTGCAATTCCCTGACGTCAGCCTCACAATATACACCATACTAGGAAAGGTGTCAGGCGGATAAACTAGGAATAATTAAACTTGATACCATCACATTTTCAGTATATATGGAATGCATAATTTGCTGCTGGCTGGGCAAATTAATTCATTTTCAATGTCCGTGCTTGAGAAGAAATCAAGTCACCAAATAACAGTTGCAGGTGAAATATGGGGGCTGCAAGATGTTTGAGGAATGCCTTGATTATAGTGTTGATGATATTGTTGATTACATCGTTTTTGTTAAGAGAACGTGCCGAATACCAGTTGCAAAGAGAGGTAGAAACTCCAAATATTCGAGATGGTCATCCTCTTGGAAGATCGGCGATTAACTTGAATGTGTTAGATTTATATTTGCCAACGAAAGATGGTTTTCAGTGCGTTCAAATGAAAGTAACCGGCACTATATCGGCGCCTATCTGTGTTTATGAAGCCAAAGAAGACAAATATGTCTCTGGCGCTTTACTTCGTGGTGGAACATGGCAGAACGATAACATTGATGTGTTTCGCTTACTGGCAAATGAAGATCCTGAACTTAATTTAATAGACCTCGGAGCGAATTTGGGAACATGGACAATTATTGCTGCAGCACTTGGAAAACAGGTGATCGCCGTCGAACCTTTCACGCCAACGATCTCTCGTCTGCACAGAAGTTTGCAATTGGGTCACTTGGAATCTAGAGTGACTTTGGTGACAAACCCACTGTCGGACAAATACGAAGATGTTGTGTTTAAAGTTTATCCCAGCAACAAAGGTGGAGTCGCCATTGCGTCCAAAAATAGTTCCGGGGACTTACTGGACCATAGTACCGTTAAAAAGACAACTACTTTGAACGACCTCACGAGTATTATACCAGGCGGATTTAACAAAGCTTTCATGAAAATGGATATAGAAGGCATGGAACTTAAATCTTTGAATGCATCTGACGTTTTATTCTCTGTTGTTGATATTCCCGTTATAATAATGGAGTGGATGGCGTATAGGAAAATATTAGATACTCCAGAAGTGCGATATTTTGAAACCTGGTTCGCTCGAAAGGGCTATTTCCCTTGTTATACACAGGGGAACCCTTCTGCTACCCAGTTTGAATGTCATTTCCTGGGAGCTATTGATTTAGACAGGAAATGGCATGATATAAGTGACATTTTCTTGTTTAAGAAAGACTTCTTCAACGAAATCCAGCGTGTTGGACGTATTGTATAATAAGGAGTAAAGGCACCTCATTTACTAAAACGACTGTTTTGAAAAGCGAGTTCCGATATTTTTCAAATTTTATTATTTATTGATTTGTGGGAGAAAGAACACCCTATTATTTCGGGTTATAAAACACTGTATGCCTTGTGCAAGGGTTCTTGGCTTATATTACATATTCTTTCTCTTTATATAACCAATGTAGTTTTAATTTTAAAAAATCATTTATCATAGATCTACGTATTAGATTTGCCTGTTGACAGTTTCGTCTGCTTACTCTGGCAGACTTGGTCGCAACTGAATTACCTGTTCAGGTGAAGGTGAAACAGGTAAATTTAATATGTGCATCTATCATACATAAAGACTTTTTTAACCTATCAAAAACTGATATCCAATGAAATTATTTTTACAGTATAGATTTATATTTAACAGCATTAAACGTGCATTGTTTCATTGTGTTAGTTGCTCCATAAGTCATTAGCTGACACACTTAAGACTCAGTCGCTTGCATGCAAAGATATGAACCCAAAGTCGGTAAGGAGTTATGATCTTAGAGATAAAATATAAATGTTAAATAAAGTAGATGTTTAATTTTTATTTTATTTGTTTTAAATATAACTGTTAAATAAAGATGTTTATTTTCAATTCATTTGTTTTACAGTTGACGGTTTGGTTGTGGACTACGTTTGTTCATAACAAGTCAGTTTTAAAACGACATAAAGCTGTTATTGAGTTTGCAATCAGCAACGGGGGAGGGGGGGAAGGCGGTCTGTGTACTTTCCATACATTCTCTCAGTTGCTGATATGTACTAGTATATGAGTGTTTTACCTACCCCCTCTCTTCATCTTCATCCTTTATCCAAGGATAATTATCACTTTAGCAATGATGTTCTTACCTTTGTTATGCATGATTAGCATGCTAAATCCTTTCAAGGGTTTTTTATTAGCTTCCTCCGCTAGAGATACTGCTGTTACATCTAAACAAGTTAATATGACATTGTCCCCCAGGGAAAAGATCACAATATATCCAAGGATCCATCCTATAAAATCAATAAAGACCTCCCTCTTTTTTGACAATAGGAGACATCATTTGGTTCTCACTGAATTTTGATCAATTGTGGAGAATGGCGTGAATGTGGCCCATATGAAGAAATGACAGATTTCAAATAATGTATCGGACAATTTTAAGGACTGCTGATACATGCGTGAACCATGATACACCATTTTACCTCTCATTTTCACAGCTGAAAAAATAATGATAAACTAATCTGTAACATTACAAAAATCAAAGCTGAAAATATAACTGAAGATGTGAGGAGTGTAACACATTCAGCTGCATATGATTTTAACTTCTGATTTATACACTGAGTGTCTTATTATTTATGAACCGCACACGATGTTTGTTGAATGTTCTGCTGGTTGTAACCAGGCATGACCTAGTCTGCATTTTGTATATGAAGTATATTAATAATTAATTCTTTTTTGACTGCAATCAAACTAAATGGAGTGGTAAAAATGTGTCTGGGATCTAACCATCTATGAAGAAATTGAAGCTTATCGTAGTACTCTGGTCCATCAATAAAACAAACTGCCTCTCATTTTTATTTAATGTAATTGTTATGTTATTTAGGAATAAAATTTATTGCAATTTTAAATTCTAATTTCGTGCTCAGATATAAACATAAAGCATAAAAATGTCACCGCTGTAACCTTTATTTTAATTAATTCAATTGACATTTATCAAAGAATCCAGGAATGCCCATAATATGTCCCCATGTAAATTAAACAAAATTATCTTGGCAAAATGATTTCTAAGTTAAAGATGTTAACCCTTATAAGCCTTAATACCCAAAATAAAATAAAATGATCCAGTAATCTATAAGAAGGATGAAAATTTGGCTGTTGAGAAAAAAAAATGACATTATTTAGTATAAAAAAATGCAAATTCAAAACGATTAGCTGTGCCTCAAAAGTGTTCATTTGTGGAAATGTTCCAATTAAAACGAAAGCTTTACATACACTAAAAACCACAATATGATTGCCCCAGAAACTGGAGCGTGTAAAAATGAAATGTCACAAAACTAAGTGAGTAAATGCAACAAATCTTTTTAAGAAAACATTTAAAACTGAAAGAAAAACGTGTATAGATTATAGCAGAAAGATCTACTACTGAGTCTATTTGGCATAGGCATTTTTTAGAAAATCCACAAACACACTGATTTATTGAAGAACTTGTCAAAAATTATAGAGGCAAACCTTCCTTACATCACCTCTTACGTTACTCGGAAAAAAAATTGGTTGGTCTTTAAAGTAATAAAATGTTGAGTTGTAGCCAACAAGAACATGGAAAATACCCCATGCGAGTGAACCATGTTTCAAAATAACGCACCTCGGGACTATCCAGTCTGTATCTATGAAAGATCCATTCTATTACTATGACGGGAATAATAACAGCAGAGAAAAAACGTCGGATTCATTTAAAGCATTATTTCTGATTATACAATACGCCCAACACGCTTAATTTCTTTGAAGAAATCTTTTCTAACCAAGAAAATATCACCAATATCCCGCCATTTCCTGTCCAGGGCAGTGGACCCCAGGAGATGAAAATCAAGGAGACCAGAAGAACCTCCTTGGATGTAACATGGGAAATAACCCATACTATTGAACCAGGTTTCAAAATATCGCACCTCAGGACTATCCATTTTCTTCTGATGAAACAGCCACTCAATTGTTATAACAGGAATATCTACAACAGAGAATAAAACATCAGATGCATTTAAAGCTTTAAGTTCCATGCCTTCTATGTCCATTTTCATGAAAGCTTTGTTAAATCCGCCTGGTATTATGCTTGCGAGGTCGTTTAATGTTGTCGTCTTCTTCGCCGCTGTTCTGCCTTTTGATACAATGGAGATTCCACCTTTGTTGCTGGAGCTAACTTTAAATGTGACATCTTCGTATTTGTCCGACAGCGGGTTTGTCACCAAAGTCACTCTAGATTCCAAGTGCCCCAATTGCAAACTTTTGTGCAGACGAGAGATCGTTGGCGGGTAAGGTTCGACGGCAACCACCTGTTTTCCTAGTACTGCAGCAATAATGGTCCATGTTCCTAAATTCGCTCCGATGTCAATTAAATTAAGTTCAGGATCTTCATTTGCCAGCGAACAAAATATATCAATGTTCAATCTCTGCCAAAGATGTCCCTGAAGTAAAGAGCGAGATACAAATTTGTCTTCTTTGGCTTCATAGACGCAAATAGGTGCCGATAAAATGTCGGTAACTTTCATTTGAACGCATTTAAAGTCGTCTTTCGCTGGTAGTTGTAAATCTAAAATTTCCAAGTTAATTGGCGATCTGCTTAAACGATTGTAATCACGAGCCATTGCCATCTTTACTTCTGTCTGCAGTTCGTGTTTATCGCTTGTTATCGGCAATAACGATTTTATCGCCAATACCATCAACACTATAATCAAGACATCCCGCAAGATTCTAGCCGCCCTCATATTTCCTTGACTGCCTTGAATTTATATATATATATATACTTGTGATATGGGGAAAGTTAACTATGAAGTGAATGAAATTTTGATATCTTCCTAAATAATATAGTATTATAAAATATAAAATATTTATCTAATGTAAAAATGTGCGGATCTTGATACCAAAATCGGTCTGATTTTTTTCTCATGCTTTCTTTATTTCGATAACAACTTCGTCATTTCCACTGCTATGAACTTTATAAAATTCACGATTAAGATTTGATACCACCTTCCAAATATATATATATATATATATATATATATATATATATATATATATATATATATATATATATATATAAACCATATTATAGCGCTTTTATTTACGTCTTACCATAGGCAAATAAATGCTAAATCAATTTCCATTGTAAGTTTAATTAGTAAGGTTAATCTTTGAAATTATAAGACAAATGAAGCATATTACATAAATCTTACACTATATGTTAAACAAAGCATATAAGAAAAGTTATGATGAATACTATTTCTTTATTTGATATTTTAGAATCATGCTATTTTATAGTCTCTCCTCGCAAGTCTGTCTTAATTACAGCATATATCCCAAGCCCTCAGCTGGCTATGATGGCACCTAGGCTGACATCATCATACAGCTTGTGGCGCCCCTAGCGTTTCAATTGAAACTAAGCATTTGAGTCTAAGCATACAATAGGATTTATCAGCATATTTATTTGATATTCATTTTTGAAAAATGGTCGACATTGTTTTGTAAACACAGGGTCTCTTAAAACAATAAGTTTCTAAATTCATCCAAACATTTTAATATAAAATAATAAAATATTAAGCCCGAGGCAAAGTCACGAGGCTCGTGTTGATGTTGTCGTTTACGGTAATGTGGCAAAGATATCAGTGTTGTTCTTCTAAAGTGAATGGACTCCCAGCTCCTGCTTCAAATATCTGGGAAAAGAATGTTATTGAGTTTGCAATCAGCTAGGGTGTGTGTGGGGGGTAGGTGATTATCAAAGGATAATTGCCACTTTAGCAACGATGTTCTCACCTTTGTTATACATGATTAAATCCTTTCAAGGGTTTTTAATTAGCTTCCCAGGCTAGAGATACCGCTGTTACATCTAAACAAGCTAATATGACATTGTCCCCCAGCTCCTGCTTCTAAGATTTCCCTCTTTCAAAATTTGGGAAAAGAATGACAATTGGTTGCCAAGGGTCCACCTCATAAAGTCAATAAAGACCTTCCCCTTCTTGACAATGGGAGACATCATTTGGTTTTCACCGAATTTTGATTAATTGTGGAGAATGGCGTGAATATGGCCCATATGAGGAAATGACAGATTTCAAATAATGTATCGGAAAATTTTAAGGACTGCTGAGACATGCATGAACCATGATACACCATTTTACCTCTCAAACAATAACTGTAAAAATAATGATTAACTTAGGCCTATCTGTAACATTAGAAAAATCAAAGCTATATATAACTAAAGATGTGAGGAGTGTAACACTTCAGCTGCATATGATTTTAACCTGTGTCTTATTATTTATGAACCGCACACGATGTTTGTTGAATGTTCTGCTGGTTGTTACCAGGCATGACCTAGTTTACATTTTATATAAAGTATATTGATGTTAATTTTTTTCTTGACTGCAATCAAACAAAACTAAATGTAGTGGTAAATGTCTCAGGGATCTAATCATTTATGTAAGAAATTTGATGCTTATCTCAGTACTCTTGTCCATCAATGAATCAAACTACCTCTCATTTTAATTTAATATCCTTGTTATATCATTTAGGAATAAAAGATATTGCAACTTTAAATTCAAATATCAAGCTCAGATATAAACATAAAGCATAATGTCATCTTTGTAACCTTTAGTTCAATTCGTTCAATTGACATTTTACCAATGAATCCGGGAATGCCCATTATATGTCCCCATGTAAATTAAACAAAATTATCTTGGCAAATAAAAATTATATATATATATATATATATATATATATATATATATATATATATATATATATATATATATATATATATATATTAAAAGTAGAAGTGTTTTATATAGCTGATATATTTGGGGGGGGAGAGGGGGGAGGTGTGTAAAATGTTAATCCGATATGTATACAAAGATGTGCATTAATGTAGCCATGTCATGTAGTCTTGTTCATATCTTTAACCTTTACCCACCTATATTTCTATTTGTCTCATTTATCCTCAAATGTCTCTATTCAATATAGACCAACGAAGCCGTTTCATAGATTGAGATGTCATTATTTTTGATTATGCAATACGCCCAACACGCTTAATTTCTTTGAAGAAATCTTTTCTAACCAAGAAAATGTCATTAATATCCCGCCATTTCCTGTCCAGGGCAGTAGCCCCTAGGAGATGAAAGTCAAGAAGACCAGAAGAACCTCCTTGTGTGTAACATGGGAAATAACCCATACGATTGAACCAGGTTTCAAAATATCGCACCTCGGGACTATCCATTTTTTTCTTATGAAACAACCACTCGATTGTTATAACAGGAATATCTACAACAGAGAATAAAACATCAGATGCATTTAAAGCTTTAAGTTCCATGTCTTCAATATCCATTTTCATGAAAGCTTTGTTAAATCCGCCTGGTATAATACTCCTTAGGTCGTTCAGTGTTGTCGTCTTTTTTACAGTACTATGGTCCAGAAACACGCTGGCACTGTTGTTTGATACAATGGCGACCCCACCTTTGTTTCCTTGCTCTTCATGAAACACGACATCTTCGTATTTGTCCGACAGCGGGTTTGTCACCAAAGTCACTCTAGATTCCAAGTGCCCCAATTGCAAACTTCTGTGCAGACGAGAGACCGTCGGGGGATAAGGTTCGACGGCGATCACCTGTTTTCCAAGTGCTGCAGCAATAATTGTCCATGTTCCCAAATTCGCTCCGATGTCAATTAAATTAAGTTCAGGATCTTCATTTGCCAGCGAACAAAATATATTAATGTTCAATCTCTGCCAAACATGTCCCTGAAGTAAATAGCGAGATACCAATTTGTCTTCTTTGGCTTCATAGACGCAAATAGGTGCCGATATAATTTCGGTAACTTTCATTTGAACACATTTAAAATCGTCTTCCGCTGGCAGTTGTAAATCTAAAACTTCCAAGTTAATTGACGATCTGCTTAAACGATTGTAATCACGAACCTCTGCCATCTTTACTTCTGTCTGCAATTCGTATCGAACGCGTGTTATCGGCAATAACGACTTTATCACCAATACCATCAACACTATAAACAAGATATACCCCAAGATTCCACCGGGTCGCATATTTCTCTGACCGTGCAGTTTTGCCTTGATTCTTCTACATGTATATATATATATATATGCTTGTGATTTTGGGAAAGTTGACTGTGAACTTCCTGAACTGCAATGTAGCAAATTTCGTTTTTCTTTAAATAATATAGTGTAATGATATAATATACATCTATGTAATGTAGAAATGTGCGGGTCTTGATAGCAAAAGCGATCTGGTATTGCTCATGCTTTATTTCCATAACAACTTCGTCACTTCCACTCCTGTCAACTTAAATTAAAACCACAATTAAGATTTGATACCGTCTTTCAAATATGTACACCTCATATATATAACCATATTCTAGCGCAGTTATCTACTTCTTACATTAGGCAAATAAATTCTAAATCAATTTTCAAGGTAAGTGTAATTAGTAAGATTCATCTTTGATATTATATGACAAATGAAGCATATTACACAAATCTTACATTATATGTTATATATTAAAAGTTATGATGAACACTATTTCTTTATTTGATATTTTAGGCTCATAGTATTTTATAGAGTCTCCTCGTAAGTCTTAATTGCAGCATATATCCCAAGCCCTCAGCCTTCTGTGATGGCTCCCCGGCTGATGTCATCATGCAACTACAGGCGCCCCTAGCGTTTTAATTGAAACTAAGCATTAGAGTCCAAGCATGCAGTCAGATTTATTGGCATATTTATTTGATATTTATTTTTTCAAAAATGGTCGACATTATTTTGTAAACACATGGTCTCTCAAAACAATCAGTTTCTAAATTCAACCAAACATTAATATTAAGCCCGGGGCAAAGTCGCGAGCCTCGTGTGGATCGTGTGGTTTACGGTAACGTGGCGAAGATATCAGTGTTGTTCTTCTAAAGTGGATGGACTCCCAGGACTGATTTCTCTGCTCTTTTACAGAAAAATCACATCATTTTAAGCAACGAGTTTAAAATTCACCTGTTGGAATAGCAGGTACACATGGCAGTCAGCGATTAACGAACACACACAGACGTTCGAGGAGAACGCGATAAAGGCTCATTTAAGATGGATAACCCTGTGCGTACGGACAAAGAGGACGCCTTCGCTCTTAAAGAGAAGGCAAACACAGGGAGAAATTCACCGGTCACGGGTCGCACTACAAGACGGCGGTATCCTTGTCGCTGTGCCGAGTCAACGGTCAACGATTTCGCTCTCAGCGTTAACTGCCAAGGCCTGCCTCAAATGTTCGGCGCCAACTCCGGCATTGTACGGCGGGTCGTTTGGTTTATCCTCATCAGTGGAGGGCTAGCATTGGCCATATTTCAGATCGTGGACCGCATTGAATTTTTCCTCTCTAAACCAGTGGCTATTCAGTCTGACGTGGTATGTCCGACCTCCGCACTGTTCCCCACGGTCACTATATGTAACTTCAACGCCATTCGTCTCAGCCGTGCCGAGAGTCTACACGTCAAAGGACTGGTAGAAGATGTCTATCCATTGTCAAGGACTATTAGTCCTAATTTCACAGGTTACAGCTTTGCTAGATATGACTGGAAGTCGTTTTTCGAGTCTGTGGCTCATGAAGCGTCGGCTATCAAAGTGGTAAGTAAAAGGAATTAAACCGGTGAATTTCGGAGATTATTATTTTCAGTCGAATCTTATTAGTTTAACATCAGTGTATGGCACGCATAATCTTTTTCTAAAATCCATATTCATCTTGCGAGTTAGACTTACTTTCTCAAGAGTAAAATGCGCATGCATGTACGTAGCTCAGTAAATCATACAGACATATGCACCTTCGAGCTAAAATGAAAACTTTACTTTGACGGCTTTTTCATGATATATTTGAATGCTTAAAGCTAATACTTGACACTCAGATATTTGTATCATATTATCATGATTTCCGTCTACGCAAATGAGTCCCCTTGTTTTTATTCTTAAAAAAAATGAAGACGTTTTGTTTCGAAGAAAAAAAACGGCATTTTAAATTTTATTACCACACGTGAACTTCAATCTCAAAGTATAAGTGCATATATTCTATCAACATGGGTGTTTTTATATGGTATTGCAAAGAAATCTGTAATTTACTACCATTAAAGCAGACTTTGTGCAGTTTTCATCTACTTTCAGTGCATTTGGCAGGGTACAAAATGTACTGAGCAGAACTTCACCACCACCTTTACGGACATGGGCGTCTGCTACTCCTTTAACACTGGTGAACATTTTTATCTTAAAATATTGTAATAAAACTATTCCTCTGTATTATCTGATAAATATCTATCATCTTGACTGACATGGGCGTCTGTTGCTCCTTAAACAGTGGTGTTAATTTTTAGCATTTCAGTATTTTTATCCTATTGTTAAATATTTTATAAAAACTATTAAGGTCGTTAGTTTTTCAAAACTTTATCTAATTTATAAGTATAATTTTCGATAGCAGTTGGTTTACATGATGGTATCGTCTTGCCTAGGCGATGGTGCTGCCCTCCTCCGCAGTGACAGCAGTGGCAGTCAGTACGGGCTCAGTCTCACCATGGATGCCATGCAACACGAGTACTTCAGAGGCTTTGCCGGGATAGGAGCTGGCTACAAGGTGAACACCCATTATACCAGTATGTCCATCAGGAAGGGTTAGGTCCGTTCCTGTGTACCCCTTTTTGCAGGAGAAGGGCAAATCAGAATGCAAACAAGAAGTAATATTAAGAAGAAGTGTGGGGAGTTAACAGCTTCTGTAGTGCAACAATTCCTCGATGCTGTATTTTAATATTGGTAGAACATACGCAACATGCTATTTAAACTCAGTGAGTTCGGATTTAAAGTGTGGTGTTGGTATTTGTTACTTTCAGGTGATGGTGCACGACCCCCGGGAGCCCCCTTTGATGGCCAATCTCGGCTTCTCCGTGGGTGTTGGCATGCACACACTGGCTGCCTTAAAAATGTACAATGTAGGTATGACAGGAATGTGATATGGACCACTTGATTATCTGTTATTTTTTTACTTTGGCTGAAAATGAGATTGTGTATCGTCCATCTTTTTGAAAGTATGAGTCAAGTTTTTTCAACGTTTTCCCTTTTCAGTTAATTTTTTGTTCTGCCTTATTTATATTTGAGATAAACAGAAGCTTTTTAAGTTGTACAAAGTACTTTTAACTGTATTGCACATGGGCATGTTTGCTTATGTCTGATTTTCATATTAAACTTTATAACTCCAATATTTTACAATGAAGTCGAAATCCATTCTTACTACAATATATACGGACGATTTCAGATCAGTAACTTGGATACGGAGAACTGGGGGAAATGCCGTAGAAACATGACACTGAAATACTACGACTACTACTCTCACTCTGCTTGTCGCCTGGAATGTCTGACAGACTTCATTATAAACAAGTGCAAATGCCAGTTTATCAATATGAGAGCTCCTAACGTACCGATATGCGACCCGAAACAAATCTTTGATTGCTACGAACCCAACCGGAATGTGTTCATAAAAGAAAAGGGCCAGTGCCAACAAGAATGCCCGATTCCCTGTGACTCCATCACCTATGACGTCAGTTTATCTCAGGCACCTCTATCTGATTATCACACCGGTACCTTTACAGTGAACAATGTGAAACCTGACTATATCAAGAATAACTTCGTCCAGCTTGATATATTTTTTCAGGGTATATCTTATGAGCGTTTGGAGCAGTACCCGGCCTACAACCCGTTCGCCCTGGGGTGTGACGTGGGTGGGGCCATGGGGCTGGTCCTGGGGGCCAGCGCCCTGACGCTGTGTGAGATAATGGATTTTGTCATCGTTTGGGCTCTGAGAGGAAAAGGAAAACGTTTATGCTAAAATCATCAAAAGTTTGTGTTGATATTATCAAATGAAGAGAAGGCTTAATTAAATTTGCGTTCACTATTGATGTTGGTTCAAACGGCACAAGAGATCAAGATCAAGTCAAATTACTGTGTCGTATCGCATCTACAACAATGTTGATTTAAGATACAGTAATGAGGCAGATAAGCATGTTTATTGTCAGCAAGAATATCTACGTCCTTTTAAATAATAACCATATCACAACTACATGTATGCTCTTCAATATCAGTTTTTGAAGAATGCGTAACTTTTATTGTCAATAAACGGTGACACAATGCACTGGGCAATAAAATACTGTAAACTACTACTGCTCATCAGTATTGAGTCACATACAAATACCCTCGTTATCGCAGAGCCTGGCCTCGCAGTTGGCAGCGTCGTTCCTATCTAAATCAACCTCGAATATTGAGAAGTAAATAAACATCATTCTGTCAAAGTTACTAACTTCTTGTATTACAAATTCTTATTTGGTACACTGTAAAAGAAGCGCTGACCGCAAGAGACTTTGAAACCAAAGTTATGGTTTTTGCCATTTGGCCTGGCACACAAACCCCGCCGTGTCTGTGCAGCTCTTGTCCACGTACTGGAATGCGTCCTGAGTATCCATGGCAACGCAATCAAGGTTTTTCTTGGGATCGAGCGGACGCCCGGTCGCCCAGGGAAGCACTGAGGGATAGTCTGAATCATCTACGTATTTGAAAACGTTGTCAAGTTTGTCCATGATGACTCCTGAAACATTCATTTTTCAGGTTTTAAGTACCAGTATTTGACGCATATGAGGTAAAACGTAAGGGGCACGACGGAAAGTATTTTAGATTTGTTGAAAATAAAGCTATATTTAGCAAGTTCTGCACCTTTTTTATAAAAGCATTTATTGATGTTTGTTATACATGTTAATAAATTTATCATTTCCTTATTTGGTAAATTTCCATAGAACGCTATCAATTGGAAGAAAATATTATTTTTTATATCTGTAAGCGGACCTCCGGTGATGGTTTGAGCACGTAATATATTTGATAAAATAAAGCGATTTTTCATTCTAAGTGGCTCTGTTTTGCATCTCTCCAAAATATACCGCTAAATGTGCGGCGGTAAAAAAAAAGGTGGATGACGTCATATATATATACAACTCTTACTTTTCATATGACGTCATATCCACCAAACTTAAATGAAATATGATAAAAAAAGTTCGGGGGAAAAGGATAGACCTCTGGCCGTGACGTCATGAATGTTAAGTTACCACCGTTTTTAGATTCTAAATAGCTCTGATGAAAATTTGATTTATATAAAATATATTTTAAACACTATATAACTACATGTAGTTCGACAAACTTCACCGAAAAAACTTTAAATCTCAAACAATAATGATCTGTATATGAATTTCGTCAATAATTTCGTAATTGCAGTGGGTGTGGTGATTCCAAATTGGTATTTATCACCTGTGCATTCCATGATTGTTTAACATCCAATGAAACAAAATAACTTACGTACTTTTTACTAATTACAATTAGTTTACAATTACATGTACTCTAAAATGAACTCACCTATCCACAAGAACCCCTGATTTTTGGCAATATTTCTGGTGAAAGCTTTGTAATCTCCCAAGGAGCTGAGCAGGGCCAGATCACCCCCCTCGCTGGTACAAGTAGCACGTGACTGGGTGAAGGTCGACTTAGACAGGTGCACGCGATAACAGAAAGTGTTTCCGAACTTTGAGTAGTGCTGAGGACACCCCGAGGCACGCTCTGTTAAAAGAAAATATAAATAAATGAAAATATATTTCAAACTAGCTTTTGTGTTCCAAACACACTGTAAGCAGGCGATATATTCTAGCCACATATCATAATTAGACCAAGTCCACACCACCAAAAAAAGGGTTGGTCCTCCTTGTGCTGGGTGACCTCGTTTAAGCTACAATATAAAATATACTTATTAAACACATCAAATATTTTTTTCAATAATCGAGGTATGTGGGAAAAATTTAAATGGCTGTATGTGTAGTAAATCGACCGTGGGCTTTACAGTAACAGATGCATATCGCAGGGAAGGGAGCACTACTTTTCCATAGATATCTTCACAGTTGAACAGAAATGTGCAAAATATTAAATGTGAGTCATTTGTATTCGTACACATGTTAATTTAAAACTTTCGCTGTTTGTTTTTTTACGATGCCCTTTGGCACTTACTTTGACAATAAAAGCTGCCTTCAGTATTACGGCACTCTTCATAGAGACCACATATACTTGTGTTCTGGCATTCGTTGATATCTGAAGGCAAAGAAATATTACAATTCCGTCTTTACTATTTTAGGCCAAACATGCCACGCTAAGAATGACATCAAATGTGTCTACATAAATTAATAAATCATAAAACGACCTTTTATCCACAATATCGTCTAGATGTAAACATTCCAGTTTATAAAGAGTGAACAGGAGCCCTTCTTCTACCAGTGCCGCTGATTAATTACGTGCACTTTTTTCCGACGCGTGGAGCAATGTCCATGGATTAACCAGAGATATGGGACATATCAGTGAATATTTAGTGAAAATTAATCTGTGGCCCTGGTAGAGGGTACACATGGCCAGGTACTCGATATATTAGTAATACACTGTGCATGTAGTATCCCCTACCTTCACAGGTGATCATGGAGGGGTTACACTGGAAACCTGGCTTACAGTTGCACGTCTTGGCGCACTTCCCATCTTAAAAAATCAAATTTTTTTTTTAGAAGTCGGTAGGTGGAGCCTGAGGCTTGTATGATATAATGGGGTACAATTGCCACTGCGTCCTAGTCTCTCACGTCTTTTATTGCTTTGTTTACGACTCGGTTTTGTGACCAGAGAGAGTGAGAGAGAGTGTGTGTTAAAGAAACGTGTGTCCTAGCAATATCAGTGTCAAGCACGGCTTGTATAATAAAAGTCAAAAAAAGTATTATTTTATCATGATTTCCTTTGTAGGCCTACATATATTTCTTAAAGTTAAAAAGACAATAATACCTGTCTGGTCCAGAATACTCCCCCCTACCTGTCTGTCTGGTCCAGAATACTACCCCCTACCTGTCCGTCTGGTGCAGAATACTACCCCCTACCTGTCCATCTGGTTAAGAATACTACCCCCAACCTGTCCATCTGGTTAAGAATACTACCCCCTACCTGTCCGTCTGGTCCATTGGTCTGTACTGGAGTTCACGTCACATTCCTGGCAGGGATCTCCAGGGTGACTCTCACCGTCCGCAATGCAGTACCCGTTAATTACGCACGTGCCAGCCTGCACAGAAAAAAAAGAAAAGATTTGTCAATATTCAGGGAGGATAAATCCTCTGTAAGCTCAGCACTGTGCACCAAATGGGTGTGGTTATGTGTGTATTGGGGCGGAGATGAGGGTGGGGAGGGGAGGGGGAGAAAACTCAGTCAACAATTAAATCACTTCTTTTCAAGTTTTTCCGATAACTCAATGTTCATGTGCAAACGTCAGTCATTTCTGTAATAATAATAATAATAATAATAATAATAATAATAATAATAATAATAATAATAATTGTGTGTTGTTGCACATTTCAGTCTTCGTCGAAACAAGGTCCACGTACTTTCACCATGCAGACAACCTCCAGACAATTTAGCAGTCTACACTCAATGGGAACTTTTTGTAGCCCAAGGCACTACTGAATTGGTACACCTGGGTATTCCACCTACCTTTCTGACACAGGTATGGCCGGTACACGTGACACACTTGGAGTCATAGACTGTGACGTTCACGGCGTTGGAATAGTCTTTCCCGTTATTGCTGACGACAAGACTGAAACCGAGGGCAGGTGTGCCTGGTGATGACGTCACACCGTCAAATATCTTTACAAAGTGTGGCGGTAATGCGCATGTCATTTCTGCGAAGGAAATCATAGCTGCAGTGGTGTCTGAGACCATGCCTGGGGTACGGATACTGGTGGATAGATCAATCTGAAATTGAGAACTTATTGCATTGATTTCATTTCTTGACGTTACATTTGACCGAAACAAATGAAATATATTTACAGTATAAATACATGGGGAAAAGCTGGATTTTACTTTTGCACGTTACAATTCATATCACCACTTTCCGACATCCCACGGTTACACTGTCCATTGATAACTATAATAAAACATTTCCATTGTGCAAATACCATAACAGCATTTAAAAAGATACTTGTTTGATTTCAGCGAATAAGGCATACTATACGGCGCTTTACTCATAGCTTGCCACTGCTTGTCTTGCCACAGTTTTACCGCGTCGACGACGGTCGTAAAATACACAGTATGGGACTAATACCCCCAAGCAATACCAGTGCATTAATATTAAATGAATACTAAGTACGATATCTGTTCTCGATATAATAACTTTATTATGTTGGGCCAATCCCCCCAAGCTATTTAATATTTTGGATTAATATTTTATGATACTGACTACGATACCCGTTCTTGTAGCAGTAAGTAAGAAGCTCAAACGACAAAAATTCGGCACCAAAAGTAGTTCACAGAGAAAAATGAAGACCATTAGATCCTTGGGGTATGTATTGGTGACAGTGCTGATGGTATGGGTGATAAAATCGTTATTGCCAACAACACGTGTCAAACGTGAATTCCAAGGAGAAGTAAACACACCAGAGGTTCTTGATTATCATCGTCTCAACAAATCGTCGAACTTGGATTTGTTAGATTTACAACTGCCAGCGAAAGACGACTTTAAGTGCGTTCAAATGATAATAACTGGAACTATATCGGCGCCTATCTGTGTCTATGAAGCCGAAGAAGACAAATATGTCTCTGGGGCTTTACTTCGTGGTGGAACGTGGCAGAGCGAAAGCATTGTTGTCTTCTGTTTACTGACAAATGAAGATCCTGAACTCAATTTGATAGATCTTGGGGCGAATTTGGGAACATGGACAATTATTGCTGCAGCACTTGGAAAACTGGTGATCGCCGTGGAACCTTTCCCGCCAACGATCTCTCGTCTGCACAGAAGTTTGCAACTGGGTCACTTGGAATCTAGAGTGACTTTGGTGACAAATCCGCTGTCGGACAAATACGAACACGTCGTGTTTCACGAAGAGAAAGGGAACAAAGGTGGGGTCGCCATCGCGTCGAAAAATAGTTCTAGGGAGTTACTGGACCATACCACCGTAAAACAGACGACAACATTGAACGACCTCGCGAATATTATACCAGGCAGATTTAACAAAGCTTTCATGAAAATGGATATTGAAGACATGGAACTTAAAGCTTTAAATGCATCTGATGTTTTATTCTCTGCTGTAGATATTCCTGTTATAACAATTGAGTGGTTGTTTCATCAGAAGAAAATGGAAAGTCCCGAGGTGCGATATTTTGAAACCTGGTTCAATCGTATGGGTTATTTCCCATGTTACACACAAGGAGGTTCTTCTGGTCTGCTTGACTTTCATCTCCTGGGGTCCACTGCCCTGGACAGGAAATGGCGGGATATTGGTGATATTTTCTTGGTTAGAAAAGATTTCTTCAAAGAAATTAAGCGCGTTGCGCGTATTGTGTAATCAGAAATAATGACATCTCAATCTCTGAAACGGCTTTGTTGGTCTATATTGAATAGAGGCATTTGAGGATAAATGAGACAAATAGAAATATAGGTGGGTGAAAGTTAAAGATATGAACAAGGTTACATGACATGGCTACATTAATGCGTAGCTTTGTACACAAATATCAGATTTAAATTCTACACCCCCCCCCCCCCCGAAAAAAAATTAATACATGGGAATATATCTGTTTTATTACTACTGTCCAATATTCTAATTCTTAAGTACACAGTTCTGTATAAATCTACGTACACAGAGCCATAATAGGTATTGTCACCAACGTGAGACCCATTACTGAATCAAAAATGTGACTGTGTTATATAAGCACTTGTTTAAAAAATGATAAAATGAAATGTTTACTTATTGCCTGCATTTTACCCTGGCAATTGGCTCTTGGAATATGCAAAACTATAGACCACAAACTCAAAAACAAAATATTGAATAACCTTCATTAGACATTATATAAGAGTGAATGGCGATAATGTGATAGTGGGTTCTGGGCTGCAATAGTTCATTAGTGCAGATTTATCAATAACGTGATTACCGCAGGGAGGATAAAGGCTTTGTCTACCTTTGCCAAGAGAAAAACTTTGCACGGCAAAATCGGTCCAAAAAGTTGCTAGGAAAATATGCGGACCACTATATACATGAGAAATGTCTTGGTTGTAGTGTTGATGATCCTGGTGATAAAAACGTTGTACACAATCGTATATGTCAGATATGGACCTAACAGAGAAGTAAACGCTCATGGGAAGATTACCTTAGACGTGTTAGATTTACAGCTGCCGACGACAGGCGATTTCAAATGTGTCGAATTGAAAGTAACCAGCACTATATCGGCGCCTATCTGTGTATATGAAGTCGAAGAAGACAAATATGTCTCCGGCGCTTTATCTAATGGCGGCATTTGGCAGAAAGATAACATTGATGTGTTTCGCTTACTGGCAAATGAAGATCCTGAACTTAATTTGATAGATCTTGGTGCGAATTTGGGAACATGGACAATTATTGCTGCAGCACTTGGAAAACAGGTGATCGCCGTCGAACCTTTCCCGCCAACAATCTCTCGTCTGCACAGAAGTTTGCAATTGGGTCACTTGGAATCTAGAGTGACTTTGGTGACAAACCCACTGTCGGACAAATACGAAGATGTCGTGTTCAAAGTTTATCCCAGCAACAAAGGTGGAGTCGCCATCGCGGCGAAAAATAGTTCCGGGGACTTACTGGACCATAGCACTGTTAAAAAGACAACCACTTTGAACGACCTCGCGAGTATTATACCAGGCGGATTTAACAAAGCTTTCATGAAAATGGATATAGAAGGCATGGAACTTAAAGCTTTGAATGCATCTGACGTTTTATTCTCTGTTGTAGATATTCCAGTTATACTAACTGAATGGATGGCGTATCGGAAAAGATTAGATAAACCCGAGGTCAGATATTTTGAAGTCTGGTTCACTAATGCGGGCTATGTACCATGTTATATAGAAACAAGTCGTTCTTCTGTTGCTCAACTTGAATACCATCTCTTGGGGTCCATTAAATCAGACGTAAAATGGAAAGAAATCAGTGATGTTTTCTTGATAAAGAAAAACGTTTTAGAAGAATTTAAGGGTAGGGGCCGTTTAGTGTGATCATAAATACATCTCACCTCTTTAACAGCTTATCAAAGAAAGTACTTTTTTCGATTAAACCAAATGTGTAAAGTAAAAGGGTATGTACGTGTAGGCCCCCTATTATGAAATTTGATGTCACATTCAATAATAAGAAATAAATGTGCAAGACTAACCGTTTTTAAATGAAGTTGTTTTTATAATAGGCCTACAGGTGTGATGTTTTTTTTTAATTTCTTTTCACAATCTGCCTTTTCAGATGTACAATGAAGTTTTACATAATTGTCAGATATATATTTGTTGTCTATTTTAAACCGGTGCATTTTTGACAAGCATGTTAACTTTGTGTCTTAACCTTTTTATTTCCCCACCGGTACAGGAAACAGATGGTTGCTACATGTACTTCAAATACCGGCAATAAAATTATAAAACCGATTATAACATGTTGTGATTTTTATACATACCGATATAAATTGTTAAGATTGTGCATTATCTCAGTCAATTATAGTTACATGCATGTGTACTTTAAACAATATTTCACGTGTTTAGGCATTCACATATGAAAACTACCTTTGAATAGGTCGTTTAGCATGGGGATGTCTTCTGTATTTATAAATGACATTCTTTCACAGACAGCAACGCTTTTTGAATGGTACGTACACTATGGACTCTTATCGCGTGACATACCTTAGCAACTGTTGCCTGGCACTTGAAGTCCTTACCCTCCATTATGTTAGACACACCAAGGCGGAGCTTCTTGCATGTCCGGCGTCTGACGTCACATATGCCTGCATCTTGAATTTCAGACACCACAGGAGGCTGGGAGTCCCGTAAAGAGCAATCTTGGGACACGTAAGGGGGTCGACATTGACACTTCCCGTTGACACAGTCCCCGTTACCACTACACTGGCTAGGGCACACTTTACTGCTGATGACTCCTGAGTTGACGATGGCTGCCAGTTCTCGTAGGTTGGCTGGTACAGCAACTGGAGTCCCACTGGCGGGCAGAGGGGGGAATTCAAGCTTTTCTACCTCGACCTGACATGTGGCCTCAAATGTATCCCTGGCTGTCTCCAGGGCCACCGTCTCCTCGTCTAGCATCTGCCGAGGTTATGGTGTGAAATAGAGGAAGATAATCATTAAGGCATTTAACAAGCATATTATCTTTCGTGGAACAGTCTTTGGAGGATCTGGTTCACAAAATTAAGGCCATGAAATCAAATAATTATAGCTACATGTACAACTGAATCGATGGAATAAAACCGAATATATGTCATAAATGAGGCTTTGACTCGTTCTTATAAGAGAGTGTTAAAGTTTACAAATGAATGCGAATAGTGAATGACTATAGTCTAGAATAACAATATTTTCACATAAAGTTATGATCATTATAACCATGCAGTGAAAGTGACCATCTATGCCGACTTCCCGTCTTACCTGTATGTCAGCCACACACTGTGACAAAATGAAAGAGTTGTCAAAATCTGGAACTTTATGGCACAGGCTGTAAACGGAGGAATTTCGTAGAGCAGAGCTGAAAAGACAAATGTAAACCCGCCATTCTCAAATATGACGTAAAACAATAAAATGATAATTAATATTTGTTTGATTAAGATAACAACGAGAAAGAAAATATTAAAATATTAATTGGATTTTTATCTGGTTGTATATTCAGAATGCCTGTAATTTTTGGCCAAGAAATTAAGCATTCTAGCATTAATATCTCACAACAGGAAAACAATTTTGTAGTCAACGTCGCCAAGATAGGTAGTATCAAGTTAAAACTTACCGGCACAAGTCCGAGGCATATTTTTGGGTGCGACCCCCATGAGTGGGCCAAGTAAAAGTGCGCACGGTTATTGGCGTATTTTCTGCATAATCAAATGGATAACTATACAGACTGAGGTCCACTATCTCATCATCGTCTGCCGGACTATTCACTGCGGCGCTGCGTTTTCCATTTACTGCGGGATATCGGGTGAGAATTGGGGTATTAATTTTTGTATATCCATTAAGGTTGGCCTTGTCACTAATGTGGCGGTTGAAGTCACACACTAGCGCGTTCGTATTGGTGTTGTTGTCTACAGACTGACAGTGACAGTAAGCTGAGTTGTTGCCTTGGGAACCCGCAGACTTCACTATCTCTGGGATTTTGACGTTAGCCTGGAAATATGTGCTTTGTCCTGGTACTCTGAAAAAATAGTTCACAAAATTAATGCCAAACCATTTATGAACCGATTGCGTTAGTATACATTTTTTTAAAAAGCAAGTTGATGTTGATAGGGTGTCCTTTAGGGAATGGAATGTTCGTTTTGTCCTGCACTGTTGATACATATATGTCATAATACTTACTTACTTACTTAGATTTCAGAAAGTCTGTGAATTGAACTGAATTCCCTAATCATTAAAACAACTAAAAAAAGATCAGTTTTTATTTACAGAAGATATCTGGGGATCTTTACTGTTGAGTCAAGGGGAATAGCACTTGTGTGCACGCGTGTATAATAATTTTTTGCTAATATTTAGTCATTTTTGTTACTAGGCCTATGCTGTGAATCACAAATCCTAGTCACTATGAGGTTTGGGCGTCATAATGCCAACAAAGTTGAAAGATGAGTTTTTGTTCAGCATTTAACACAGTACAAAGTATATTATCTAAGTATGTGGTTATTAATTCAGAAGATACGATGCGAATGACCTCAAGTTAGTTCTAACGTCTTACCTGAGTGACTGGAAGAACGAGCTAGTGTACCGGTCATCATATCGATTGCCATTAAAATTACCGCACATGCCTGTCATCTGGTTCTTGAAGTAGCTTGGTGCGTGCACGTGCACGTTCATGCCCATCCAATTCCACGCGTCGACGCGCACCCAAGCTCCCGAGGGCAGAGTGATCTGTAAGCACAAGGACAGTCTATATGTATGCACGTACATGAAATTAGAACGTCCAAAATAAACGCAACATTGGTCAGACGGAATCTTGAACTCCAATTAGGCCTCTTGTTGACTGTATTTCACATAGATCTGTCCTCTTCGTTATTGTTCCGTAGTAATTCTTACGTATTATGGTACAGGGTGTCCCTATAGTTATCTAAAATATCTTTACAATTATAACATATACTGTAGGTACCTACTATAAACATTAATAACTTAATACATTTTGCTCTTTGATAAGATACGCACTGGGTTTGGAATCCCATAAACTCACATTGAAAATGTTGTCCGAAAATTTTGACTTACTATATGAGTGTTGGTAATGTATTAAATTATTTAGGGAAACTGTACATTTCAGTAAAGCGGGCATTTATCATTTGGCCACGTGGCAAATTATTTGTCGTCACTTAATTGTCTTCACTATTTGATCATAGCACAATATGCGCCTCTAAAATGAGCAAAACTGCACATTCGAACCTCTCAGCAGACCCACCTTGAAGCTTTTCCCATTCCCGTCTCTGTGAATGGCGGCGCCAGGAGCTGGACATCCGGTACCGTGACCACAGTTATCAGCTGACCGCGTCCACACCTGGGGATTCAGCGCTCTCCCGACCCTTCGCCCACCTTGACCTTGGCACGTGTTGATGACGAATATATCGTTGTTTTCTCTGACTGCCACTCCACAGTTACACTTTGCCCAGGAATGCCAGCATTGCCAATGTTGAGTGCGAACCTTTAAAATTATCCATATACGCTTTTAATTAATACGGTGAAATCTTGAACTGCGTTAAACATTGAAGCAGTCAAATATTTTCTATTACAAACTGGAATATCAAAGATACAATTCTGGCTTCCAGATATTTGTATATTTTCTTCTTTAAAGTTGTATCTGGTTTGGTATAAAATATGTGCTCGCGTTAGGAACAGCACTGCTTGCCTCAAAATCACTCACCTCAAAGTAAGTATTGGGTCCGTCATATTTTGCCATGATAAACTCTCCAATACCATGATTATCAAAAGATCTGAAAACGAATAGAAACTGCACTTATTTGTTTCGTTTTAATGTACATAAGAACGACCGCTATTCAGACCAAAATCATGAGTTTAGTATGTTACATGTAAGACTAATGACAACGTGCTGAATGATGTTGGCGACATGAACAACTGTAAAGAAAAAAAGCAATCATTATACTGGTAATATCTGTAAATGCAATTTGTGTGAATATTGTTGACGCTTTATCAAAGAAGATGGCATATGTTTCTCAAGACAACTGTTAATTTTAAGACCTAACGTGCCCGTCTACTTTAACTCAACATAAATGTAAATCAGTGAAATCCACCTGTACGAAATATTAATTATTCCCATTTTATGGCTTAAAAGACACATGTTAAATGCTTAAAACCATCAGTTACTTCACATTATTAGACCACTGCATGCACTTTATTCTGGGTCAAAGTCAATTAAAAGTTGCGTCAATTAACTTAAGACAGTTACTTTAACATATTTGACCACCGTATATATAAGGCAAAAGTAAATTAAATTGGGTCTCAATTAAGACTGATGTTCCGTATTAGTGTCTTAGCAGAACCTAGCACAGAGTGCTGTACGTGGCCTACCTGCGGTCGAAGGATCTTACATGAGGGTCGTTGATGGACAAACACTCACTTGTAGACCTGGTGCTGGAGTCTTTCACGTTGACCTGCGGGTAAACACTCAATAAACTGTAGTTGTTTAGTTATACTTTTCATGCATGAATATATGGGATTAGATGTCATTAGGCTAATTTTAGTTGGTTGGTCAACTATGAAAAGTGCCCCACTTTATTACTCCCAATTCACATTGTGCATGTGTTCATTGTTTAACTATATTTTTAAATTTAAAATTCTACGACGCGCGCAATTTTAAACGCAATATTTATATTACAAAAATGTAGCCTGTTTAGTGTCTGCAATTCTATTTTCACAATAGAGGTAGGATTAAGTTTAAATAGAAATTAAAAACAAGTTTAAAGGAACACCGATTAACTCTTGTCTCATTTCCACTTTCAGAAAAACAGGAATTTAAATAGCTGCGTATGTTTTACCTTCAATGGTTTGAGATGGAGCCCGTCCCACACACTGGTCGGAATGGCGGGATTAAAGGGGAGCCTGAACATCAACTTGTCAAAGCTCAGCTCCCTTGGGGGCCAGGCGGAGGGCATCAGTCTGGTCTTACCGTCATACACAGGGTAAATCACAAGGGGAGGTTTGGCCACCACGTGGTTCTTATGGCGGGCACTCCAGTCCGTCTCGTGAAACGCAGTTGTACAACGATGGTGCAGCATCAGCGTCTTCTCGCTAGTGGAAACTTTCATAGGCATCTTGCCCAGTTGGTTCCCGTTAAAGGCCTTGGTTATTGGGATGGTTGACGCCAACTCGATTTCGAATGGTTTCATTTTTGCCTTGTCCAATGTGACTGTGGTCACTTCAGTTGTCGTCCCCTTCTTAAAGATCTGGCAGGATCACATTAAGTAACTTTTTAAATGAAGTTCTACGAAATCCTTGAGTATTGATATATCATCGATAATTCATCTTTTATCAGTTTCAAGCTGTATTTCGAGCAAAATTCACGGTAATCATTTAAAAGGGCACCTTTTTACAAAGCAAAACAGAAAGATTTGGGGGCACTTTACTTAATTAAGATATTGCTATATTTGTCAGCCAGTGCTTGTCAAGTTGATCGCTGTCGGCCTGAAAACGTTGATAGATGTCACCACTTACCTTGACCCCAGCAAAGTAGTCGTTTTTAGAGTTGACAAATGACGTCATGCCCAGATTCTGGTTATTATCCCAATAGCTTTTCGCCCGGCAGCTGATCTGAAAGAAAACACATTTTTGAAGAAGTATAATATTCGGGGTATAAAGAGCA